TATTACTGAGGGGGCCGATAGGTGTGATGCCATCGTCGTGGGCCACAGAGTTAGGCATATCGGATGAGTCGACAGATATCCTCAGGTAAGAGGTGTTAATATTGCGGACACTCTCGATGTCAGGGGTCGTATCGCCCGTCACTTTAATGGCCTGTAATTGTCGCGCGAATACCTCCCCATTTTCTGGCGGGTCTCCATTGCCAAATGTGCTTGTTACTATGAGTAACAGTGCCTCGTGCTCTAGGTGCGACATGTCGTACGTGTCCATACACAGCACCTGCAGGTGTTTAGCATAATACGAGTTTTATGATACAGAATATTCTGGTTTATTATGTGTGCGCTCATGTATTTTATTAAATTCTGTGACCTATTGTTATATTAACTCAAAATGTGTGGTAATTTTCGTCTATACAGATTATTTTGTAATTAATTTTGTACTAAAAATCTGTTAATTATATATGATTTGAAAAGTTTATGAAGTTATTGTATTAACTTTTGCAGCGATTTTTTATTTAAAAATTTTGCAAATATTTTTGTCACAAAAAGATTATCAACTTTTATATATTTACTCTAAAAGCGGAGTTAAAATAATGAATTTCATAATAGACTGAACACATAATTAAAGTTGTTTTTTTTTTATTTAAAAATTTTGCAAATATTTTTGTCACAAAAAGATTATCAACTTTTATATATTTACTCTAAAAGCGGAGTTAAAATAATGAATTTCATAATAGACTGAACACATAATTAAAGTTGTTTTTAGTCCTAAAACTCTATCATTAGATTACTTATAATAAGGACTTTTAATGAAACGTTTCCAATCGCTATACTGGAAATTTACGTCACATACATACCAGTGCTTTCACTCCCTATACTGTATTCCGCTTTCCATCTCAATTGCATTGAGAGAATAATTTTCAAAAAACACAACTTTCTCTCCAAATTTAAGGAATAGTTTAACTCATTTATACCATAGATTAGTGTTGGGACAGTAGTCAGAGAGAGAGAGAGAGAGAGAGAGAGCACGGAAAGTATCCACTGATTAATGAATGAAACGCTTGAAAACTTCAATACTCTATATATTCCGTATGTTTTTGTATAGCAGTTTGCTTTCAGTATTCTGTGAGCGAAAACTTCTCGCAGCACTGATAGGCTTAACGTTTTAAGGGCTATAATTGCACACAAAATTCATGATCGAAATTCTCAAATGACTGTAATTTTTTGTGTTTTTAGTTTTACGTCTTTTAAGTCTTATCCCCGCTTTCGCTAGTCTTCTGTCTAATTAGATAAAGATTTTGTATAAATCATTGAAAAGTATTTATTGAAACAATGCGTCCGATTGTATGGACAAAACAATGCGAAAAGGATTTACTGTATACTAGGCTATAGTTTTGGGTAATTAAGTTCATTTAACTTACAGTGTACACAGATTCTGTAATTATATTATGAATGATTGCATATTATTGTTATGAATCAAATTCTGTATATTTAGTATGTAATAAATTATTTCAATATTTATTTATATTTATTATACGAGAGATAATAAGAGTGAAAAATAGGGAAAATCTATTAACATTTTATTTATGTCTCTATTCATTAAGACTACTCAAGACTTGTAGTTTATAATGAATATTCTTGCGGTAGTCAAACATTATTAACAAATTTTTGAATGAATTATTTCCTATTTTCAAATATAAATTGCTTAAAGGGCTGTTAGATCGACAACCTCTGCCATAGACATGAGTATATAATACTATATATCCTATGACTTTGTCTGGAATTCAAAAATTTACAGTATATTATGGAAACGGGATATTCCTTAGGGTTTATAAGGATTTGTAGTCTCAAAAGATTGTCTTACATTTCATGTCTATTAAAGATATTTATTATATTTTATTATAAAATATATATAAATTTATATATTCTGTCCGCAAAATGTGTATTGAATACACTATTAGAGTGTGTTTTTGAAGGATTAGATTAAGTTATTTAAACACAAATATTTATTGCTTTTGAGTTGACTTTACATTTTTATCAATAAATTATACGTGAAATTGTCTTAATATTTGCAAATATACTAGAGTATTAACTAATATTTCGTATTTGCTAGCAAATAAATCACAAAATTACCAGGATTATCAATTCAAACCTCGATTCTATAGATAATCAAGTTATGAATGAGTTGTCATTTTTACAGTCAAACAACAAAACAACACAAAAATACAGTTAAACTCAATAAAAGGTCCTCAAAAAGCGGACATCAAAACACATTTCGGACTCAAACCTAATCCCAAAAATCAAATTAAAAAACTTTTCCCACAAAACTCACCGAAACATTGAATGCGTGCAGAAATATATGGGCCAACCGTTTGGCAAACAGCTCCGACTTTCCCGTCTCAGTGGCGTACAGTATGGTAGCCTTAATACGCTTGGACAGGGCCTTCCCAAACAGGTTGGACGTGAACTTGACAGCCCGGGCGATCTCCTTGAACCGCAACTTCCTGGGTGTCCCACCATTACTGCTACCCCTCCTATCCATGCGAGTGCCGGGCAATTGGTGCCACTCGTGGGTACGCCACGCGGGCTCCTGGTATTCATAGCTGGGTTTGAGCTCATAGTAGAGCATCTCCTGGTGAAACACCGGCGTCAATGAGCCCGATATGGGCGGCACCACCCATACCCAGTCGGCCGGGCACCCACCCCTTAGTCGTTGCTCGTTATCCAGGTGCTTCATGAATGATTCAGCTGCCGTGTGGTGGTCCACAATTGTCACGTTAGCCCTCTGGTAGCTGTAGAGGACAGCTATGTTTATCTCGACTATAGCCGAGTCTTTCCAGAGCGAGGTGTTGGTCCGCACGTCCAGACCCATACGTCTGGCCACCTCCTGTTCCCCAACAAATAAATATATGTATAAAGTTATACTGTATATAAGGAATATTCTGTTGGGATCCGTATAGGTATTATTTTAAGCTATATAAGTCAATATACTGAGTACAGTATAAAACTTGTCTCTAAATTCTGTGTTCATTGTGAATGTGTGTATATTTGAGGGCTGGTATGTCATCCTATAAAACTACCAGTGCTCTCTTCCTTATACTGTAGTGCATAATAAACACTGAATGCGTGATCGGAAAGATTTAAGTCGTGCGGCACTCGGTGTACACAATCACTACACGACTACTCTATTAGGCGTTTAGTCTCTCATTGTGTTTAACACTACTTAACAATAAAAATCTTATTAAACGTCACTTCAATTTAAACGTCCAATACTTTCGCTGAATACCGTATCAGCCATTTAATTAATTCACTCACATTTTCCTCATAGCTAATCATATTTTGTACAGAATTTCCTACAGAATCTCGTATTTTACATCAAAAAAAATCAATATTTAATTATTTTTAAAATTATCATTAGTCCTAACGTGTATGAATTTTATTTATTGCATAATTTATTCGTAATCAATGTCTAATTAAATAAACAAATACTTAATAAAATTAATATTACCTATTAAATTACTACAGTAATGGCTAACTAATGAACTAATGGTGTATCATGTACATGAATATGAAAATGTAATTAAATTTTAAATAAAGCTAAACAAAAAAAGGACTTTCTGGGCGTTTTATACATATTTGGTTTCGTTGAAATATTTATACACGGCACTTTACCATAAATTGTACAAATTATTTTGTAATTTAACTTCAAACAGAATGTTAATTTAAATAAATTAGTTTAGAAAATATAAATATTATAACAAAAGGGCTTTTGGTTTCATTGAACCATTTACACACTCGTTTATACAGCGCTGTTTGTACCAGGATACTTTTAAAGTCCTTTTATTCACATTTTTTGAGCTCATATTTCAAACATACTCTCATTATTAGCCCTTTTTATACACTTTAACAGTTGTTTCCCACACTTTTTATACCAGTATTTATATTTAACTTAAAACTAGACTTAAAACTATAGAAATATTTTTACATAGTAGCTTTATATCTCACTATATTTTTATTAAATACATTTCTACAGTTGTTAAGTATTTAAGTCTAAAATAAATAATTCATTTGATTCATCACTCAATTCTCTTATAAAACAATTATTTATTTGAAAGGCTGTAATATTACAATGCATATTTAATACAAAATACAATATAATACTATCGTATTATAAACCTACTAAATAAGCCTTGTGTAAATAAGATTAAAATAAAGTTTTAAGTTTATATAAAATGTGTGTAAAAACTGTATAAAAAATAGCCCAAAATTCCTTTATTATTAATTTTATTAAACACATAAATATTTTTCAAAAATAATTAGCTAGTGAATATCGCATAAACTGCTAATCAATTGATTAACAAGTAGCATAACGCACACAACAATTACCAACCATTTAGTGGTGCATTTGACATACATGTATAAGATTACAATTACGAAACTAAAAATTTGTGGCCACAAACCTCTAGTATATTATATCTCTGAGGGTCGCATAAATCTCTGGTAGCGATCTCCGTGACCATATACCAGCCACTGAATGGACAGGCAGGGAATTCTAGGCCTCCCACGTCGAACATCATGTTGGAAACGGCCGGTAAGGCATACCATTGTATATCCAACTCCTCAAACCACTTATATCTATACCATACGATCGATACGAGAATATAAATAATAAAAAGTATTTTATTGTTATTTCAATTGTAAATCTCCGTAAAGAATATTCTTATGTAACACACGATTCTGTAGCACAAGAATATTCCTTTGTATTTATGTTGTGTTTTTGTGCTGTTTTTGATTTTCAGTTTGAGTGATCTCTCTCTCTCTCTCTCTCTCTCTCTCTCTGGCAGTGATACACACCTGGGATGCACGATAGGTACCCGAACCACCAGTTCCTCCGGGAGTGTGAATACTTGTGGATCTTCGTCGGGCACCGACAGCACCAGCGGTAAGACATCCCATTTCGTGCGCTTGGATTTCCAGCCAAGGCTTTCGCACAACTAGTTTTGTGTTTATTTGTGAAAGTATTTTATGTTGAGATTTCAAACATAACAAGTTAACTTATTTTTTGTGCACTTAAAAGCATTTGAATGTTAACTAAAAAAATATCATTCAATTATTCATGCATTACATGGAAAGTAGGAAAAAAATATCTTTACGTTTCTCTCAATGAGATGTATGTCTCGATTCCTTACGAGATTTTAGGCATAAAAAGCACTTTTAGTTTAGATATTGTTTTTAATCAAAATTAGAAACATTGAAATACTTTTCTTAATTTGTTTTTACAATTAAAACTCACATTTAAAACAACTTAATTAACATGTTTAAGTAAAAAACATTAGTTTCTAAGTTTTAACTTTAACAAATTTTTATATTTCGAAATGTCTTTAATCTAATTTTGTTTGCATTGCATTTTCTATTATATTTCAAAAATATACAGAAAAGTGTACAAAATTTTATGGTTATTGTCAACATATTTCCACCGAAAATACTCGCAATATATTAGTTATAATAAAATTACTGTTAAAATATAAGTGTTTTATTATTGACTTTTTTCAAAAGCACTTTACTATTCTTTAAACACATAATACGGTAATCTATTATAAAACTAATGGGTGTTTTGTGTGGCAAAAACTAGCTACCGGTGCCGCTGCCGACTTACTTGAGTAAACTCGAGATTCAGTGGGTCTCCGATGATTTTAGTGGCTGATGATACCGGTGCCGGTGAGCCCTCCACCGCATAGCCAGCGTATGAAATCAACTGCAAGTTCCAGACTCTGAACTCCCGTTTCCCTACCCTTTGGGGAAATATAGTGATCGCAGACCTAATCATACAAAATGTTATGTAATGGTTTCAATTCGTAATAAAAGTTTTGGCAAATAGCATGGCATTTTTTATTTATATCTCAAATATTGTTTGCAAAATTGCAAAATAAGTTGAAAATGACTTAAATTAAGTTTTTAGATTTTGGTTTAAATATTAACTATAAAAAGGAATTCATATAACTTCATAGTTTTCTGCGTGTACTTTATACCGTATTTAATAATGGCTTTAAGTTAATGTTAATTTATTGTAACCATTTTATCTAGTCCTATTTCTTAATATACAAAATCAGATAATATTAAATTGACTTAACTATAAGCGAAAAAAGTATTTTAAAAACTTTTCTACTGAATAAGAAAATTCTAGTTTAATATAATGTCAATCCATTCCTATGAGAGTATTGTGTTTTTATTTGTATTTCCACTATATTTATGATATTATCGTGTTTATTAGGTTTCCTTATGTTTTTGACTCTCTCTCTCTCTCTCTCTCTCTCTCTCGCATCTAATCTAAGCAATAATTCTTTATAAATTCAAAAGCCATTCGTTTATTAAGATGGTATCATCAGCCACTAAAATCATCGGAGACCCACTGAATCTCGCATCTAATCTAAGCAATAATTCTTTATAAATTCAAAAGCCATTCGTTTATTAAGAGTTTAAAAAGTTTAATAATAAATAATTTTTGTTTGTGTTGTAAAGTGTCTAAAAGATTACCTCAGATTCCCTTTATTTGTGGAATATTTTATATGATTACAAAGGGCTTCAAACATCTCGCGGGCTGTAGTCACATACCGGGCATCGAATACCTGTGCGAAAGTGATTTATTATGTAATTTACATTAATATATTAATTTAAAGCTCCATTTCCACACAAACATGGATTATTCTAACTTGTAAGCTATAATTTAATAGTAGTTCGCAATACAACTAATTTGGACAATAAATTACTTAAGATTTTAATTGAAATTCTTTTACTTATTTAATGGACACAACTTTATATAAAATTCTCTCTCTCTCTTTCTCTCTCTCTCTCGCATCTAATCTAAGCAATAATTCTTTATAAATTCAAAAGCCATTCGTTTATTAAGAGTTTAAAAAGTTTAATAATAAATAATTATTGTTTGTGTTGGTGTCTCTCTCATCCCGTTCCCATCGGAAACTTATATATTACTCATATTTCTCTTTCTATTCATTCAATAAATCGTTTTCTCGATGAAAAGGAAATGCATTCAGAATACAACATAAAGACAAATAAATCGATAATATATTTACTCTGAATAACATTTTAAAGTGTATTTGCAATACAATAATATGAATATTGTTTTATATATCATACATGTTTTGAATTCTTTAAAATTCTCTCCGATAATAGTAATCATCGTATAATAGTCTCTAAACTCTCTTTCCTTTGCTTTTGTTTCCAATGAGAATTCAATACATAAATCGTTAGAAAAGATTGAATTTTAATATAAGACAGTGTTTCCACTCCGAGAGACATAAGAGAAAGTTTTTTTATGGAGAAATTACTGTAAACTAAAAGCTTTTAAATGTCTTTTTGCGGAATATTCTGTTAGACAATAATAAGTCATATATCGAGGTCTGGAAAGAGTTAATAATTTTTGCTATTATTTAACAGTTTTTTGTAGATATTCCCGCAAATCCTGTGTATTAGTATATCCTGGTAAATAGTATCTGCAGTAAATAAACACATGTAGTTCCTATAGCTTTAATTATTAATTTAGCTATGCCTTTATAAATATAACTTAGTACTGATATTAATATTTACATTTCATTATTTTGTAAATTTATTTAAACTTTTAAAAACACTTTTCAATGTTATTATAAACATAAAACTCATTCATTTATATTATACAAACATATCACTCATTTCATTATTCAATGAATGCAATTATTATAATACTTCAAATATTTTTCCAAACAAAAAAACATTTTTAACAAATATATATCAAGTAAAAGCTATTTAACAATATTCTGTTAGATTTTAACCAAGTTTTACTATTAAATTTTAATATTATATAAATACTGTTATTAAATACTTATAATATTATTTAAATTTAAAATTATATAAACATATACTTATAATATAATATACAGCTTATAATTGCAATTATAAGCAACTAATGGAAATGGTTTTGTCGAGAAATGACCTTGTATAAAGTTGTCGGGAAGCAAATGTTTTGCTAATTTATAACTTTTATTTTGAAACTAATTTATTTAAATATTAAATTGTAAGCTTAAGCTAATTCAATAAAAATGCTAAAATATTTCTCAATTTACTGACACATTTAGTTAATTATCATTTATATCGAAATTATTTTATAATCTTAGATACATAAGTGACCAGTATATTTATTAACCTCTAATATATAAATAAGCTTTGACTTTTAATAAAATACATACCATGATCATTATGTGCGACCAATAAAAGTACAAACTTCAAATCATTTTTAAAAATCTTTTTAATAATTAAATTAAAACAAATACTATAATAATATTACAATAAAGAAATAGTTATTAATATTAATCGTACGGTTAGTAATGATTGTAAATTATTGTCAATTAAAAGTCATTCATATAATAGCTGTCGATATCTCTCAGTCTCTAAAAAACGATCACAAATTAAACGACAAAATCAATTAAAACGACAAATCCTTACAATTGATGTTAAAAATAATGTTAATATAACTGGTCTTGACAATTGATAAGACTTTTAATGTGGTTTTTTGTGGGGGACAGAAAACAAACCAATAAAAACAGTTTTGTCTATAACTTATCAATTGGTTTCACAATTGTGTCTATAATTAAAAATATTTTTTTCTCATATAATAAACAAATATTAAATACAAACAAAACAACGAAAAAAATTGTTTTTCAAATATATCTTGTTATCCATTGTATATGTATAATAGTAAAACTCATTAATATAATAATAATAATACTTTCAATAAGTTTGAGAATTTGTTGTTTAAAAATTTGTCTAAAAGTTATTTTGCATTTAATTTCTTATGGTATTCGTAGGCTTTAAATAACAAATTTGTTTTTCATGTTAACATGACTTTGTATGTCAATTGTATATTCAATTAAACTTGCATTACATTCAGATTCAAAGTCCACTCTGAATTCATACACATTAAAAATCACAGAATATTCTTGTCATTCATTCATTCATAAACAGAATATTCAAACGCATAGACAGTAGTAATAAATTATTACTAATAATATAATAACAGTTTTTTCAAATACAGTGTTTGTGATGTAGTTTAACACTTTAATAATCAATTATTATAATCATACCGTATATAAATCGCAATATTATGACAAATAAACATAATATTAATCATTAATTAATAGTCAGTCGATTGAGAGACGATAAGAGAAAAGTAGCGATAAATCGAAAGTAGAGAATAAGTAAAGAAGTAAAACTCAGCGCAACAGTCAATACATGAGTGAATCATAAATCATAAAACAAATCATAAGAATTACACTAAAAATTCAATACAGAGATAAAAGGGGTCGCGAAAAAAATGCTGAACCGAAACCAAAATGATCCCGAACTTCGGTGTCTGATAGCGCGCCTCCACTAATAATCGGTGTAATTATGCGAACAGTTTGTCGAAACAGTTATGACAATAGGGTTTGTCGTTGTTCTCCTTAAACGTGCCCTTATTTAGCTGTTTGAGACAGAATGAGCAGACAAAGTGCTCCGGGTGATACTTGCGGTACATGGCGGTTATGCAGCGCCCGGTGATCGGCTTGTGGCAGCCGGCGCACAGGGAGCCCCGTTTGGCGTGATAGTGGGTCTCGCAGTAGGGCTGTCCCTCGTGGTCGAAGAAGGAGCCCCCGTTGAACGGCGACCGACAGTCCTGTCAATGAATTTGGTGTTAATTAGCATTTTCTATACAAATTGTTAGCACCGGTATATAGTTTCGGGACAGAGATGTTCCAGTATTTCGCGAGCACTACCCTAAATATCCCTACTTCCAGCTCCCATTGAAATATAATTAAATATAAAATTTAAATACCATATGCTTGATACGATTCATGTCCATATTAATAATTTATGACTTTTATGATAATTAATACAATATAAACAAAAAAATTCTTGCATTTATAGCTATCATAACATCTTATGATTTATGCTTAACATATGGCTAAATATGTACACATCGAAGGTTAGACACACTTGTCATCGCATCCCTTTCCACATCTCTGTCACTCAGTATTAAGACGCGATACAATCGGACGGAACACACATACCCTGCACACGAAGCACTCCGGGTGCCATTGGGTGCTGAGCGCCGATATGTAGTTGTCGGTAATGGCTGTATTACAACCGCCGCACTTGGGGGCGAACAGCTCGAAGTAGTCGGTGCGACAATAGGGTCGACCATCCTTTTCATGGTAGCCGTCGTCGCCGAAGTTTTTGCCACAATGGGCGCAGAAAAAGTGCTCAGGGTGCCACGTCCTGTCCAACGCCGTTATGCATTTCTATATATGCGTGTGTGGGACGGGAGGGTTGGCATCACAATTTGTTATTAATACAATATGCTTATGTTAAGTAGTTTTTTGTTTGCTATAATGTTAATGTTTTAGATACTAAACAGTTTTGGTGTTTATTTTGTGCTTTTTTTCATTTAAATAAATATAATTTCGGCAAAATGTATGTCAATTATATTATTTATAAATACTGTATATAAATGTCTCGCTATAATGAACTAATACTGACTATTGATAAATAAACACAAAAATCGTGCGCTAATTATAAACACATATTCATATATTCTTGGATTGCATTCAATTTATCGACAAAATTCTTACATTAATATCCGTACTTAACATGAAATGTAAATAAATTAAAATTCACAAAAATTCCTGTCAATTACTATACTGTATGTCTAGTTAACGCAAACACTTAACAAACACACAAAAAACAATTACAAGAATCTTGACTAACAATAAAAACCTATTAAACGAGATTCTTATCATAAGAATAGTGATATATAAATAAAGTGCTGACAGTTTCATAACAATTGGGGGCAGAACCTTAAACCCTGGCTTAAGTGGTATGTCTAGAGTCTAGCCTTGAATTAGATGGCAATTGATTGTCAACTTTCACTCCATTCCCTCTGATAAGACATGAGACTTACATCAAGTATGGAAGCGTTACAATAGGCACATCTCGGGGAGAATAGGTTGTGATAATCAGTCTCGCAGTACGGGTTGCCGTCCCTTTCGAAGAAGTTCTTGGTTCCCAACTCTATGCCACAGTTAAGGCAAGTGAAGTGCTCCGGGTGCCAGGTCTTGCCCAGTGCGGTCACCACCTGACCTACGATAGGCTTATGGCAGGCCTGGCAGTGACCCTTGGCTGCGGTGTCGACCCCGTGTCGGCTCATGTCTGACTGCAGCGAACCTATAATGTTATCCAACTGTTGACCGCCCGGTGTTGTCGCCGGTTTGGACGACACTTTGCCGTAGTCTGAGCTACCGATCGGTCTGTCCTTCAGCTGAAAATATAATTGACATACAAATCAGTATTCAATTAATTGTCGACTAATTAATGTAACTTTTCTGTATATACCTTAAAGTCGGACAGGGATGCCATGAGGTCGTCCAGCTCTTGCGTGGCATTCGAGGCACCCGTTCCCGTGTGCACGTGCTGTACCTGTTTGGGCGAACTAAGGATCCCTCGTTGGGGCTGTTCGCTGGTCACGGTATTACTCGTCTGACATCTGGGTTTATAGGACTCAATGAGTAGTCCGGCGTCGGTGTCAGTGATCCTGGCCTGGTATGGCCGGTGTCCCAGAGGGGCGGTTGCGGGTGAATGTGAGTGCACATGTACTGGGCTTCTGGCAGCCGGTGGAGACTTATGCACGGGACTGGTATGCACGTGGTGTACATGAGTCGGACTACTGTTCAATCGGTAAATACATTATCAGTTATGAATGTCTTAGCGATTAGAGTATAAGGTTTTGGATAGGGATGTCTTACTGAGGGTTATGGAGATTATGTTCGAGATTATGGATCAGTTGATTGACTTGAGTGCTGTCGCTCCTGTCCCGTCCATAATATCCGGAGTTCCCATTCGTCACTATTTATCATAATTTGTAATCAAAAAAGAGTTAATTTATATCTATATTGAGTTAAATAGGAAGTTATCAAAAGTTTTTAATGAATTAAAACTCCATTTATAGTAATGAAAACATTTTTACAGTATATATCGTGTGCTATCATATTATAATCAATGTAAGTATCAATAGTTTGCACACAAATGGATGTGTGTTTCCGATCTTAACTGTAAGCGAGAGCTCATTTGATTACATGTTTTTCAAAAGCTCTAATAATTTTGACCCAAATTATGTAATTTGGCTGAAATCCAAAACTGGGCTCACATTTGGAAACAAAATTCTGTTTATAAATACATATCTAAATAACAAGAATTGAAAACAAACTTATATTTTGCGAAAAACTGTTATAATCGCTACAAATTTGACTGATTTTTGTTAATTAAGGCATGACTTTGATTTATATAATAGCATTAATTTGACACAAATTCTTTAACACTTAGTTCAAAAACAAACAGAATCTTAAATATAACTTTATATAAAAAACATCATTATTCTTGAATACAGGTTTCCATTCAACCCCTAAATAACCTCACAATAGCTCCTAATTCACTGATTAGTAGTCACACTCAACATATGCACACAAAAGCCATTCAAACACAGCTTTCTACACATTAAACATTGATTTAATTAATCAAATAAAATATAATAAACTATAAAATTAAATAAACGATAAAATAAAAATAGCTTTAAATAAAAACTATTAATAAAATATTAAGAAAACTATAAAATGAAAACCGCAAACGACTTGCCTGTATATGAGGGACAGTTATAATGATGGTTAGTGGCGAGAATGCGTGCAGAGTTTAGATCATCAAGCAAACTATCCAGCTCGGATAGGTTGTTGTTATAATTGGTGTCTATAATACCTGGCGATTTGGGGCCTGACTTTCGGGCCATTATTTCGTTTTGATAGAGAGGCTGCCGGTGCGACGGACAAGTAGTTGAGCGCCGGGGGGGATAGGAATAACAGAATTTTGAGACATTTCACAAACATATGGTCACTATTTTTGATGACAACCTCATCGCTTCCGTAATATTCGTAGTTTTTGGAGAGTTTGGGGGCCGTAGTGGTGGTGATGTCGGCCGGAGTGGACATTTTCCAGCCAGATGTGGTACCAGGTTGCTTTTTCAAGTGTGTGGTCGCCTTTTCCAGGTCACTGAGCAGCGAGTCTACAAACATGATAATAAAAACGTGTGTAAACTCTTTGCCTTAAAATTTGGTTAATTTCCTAAACTTCGAGTTAAATAAACAACAATTGACTGACATTTCGATGAGAGATGATCGCAGAGACACACATACAGTCACACACACACCGCAAGTGCCGACTCTATGTCACCGTTAGTTATAGTGGTTTTAAAAATAGATTTTTTCAAATATAATTTTTTATATGTATTCAGTGGTGAAGACTCAGTGAATCTGTGTCTCGGATGTGGAGTAGAGTAACACTAATGATAGAAATGGAGTGAAAGCTAAACTGAGAACAAAATCAAAACTACTTTCCATTCCCACACACAATCTCTCGCTATATATCTCTGTATGCCTGTCCTCAACACTATTGGATATCTGGAGGCAGTCATAACTCTGCTAAAGACGCGTTTTTCATCACTATATCTCTGGTGTTTGGGAAGTGCTGGCAGAGAGAGAGAGAGAGAGAGAGAGAGAGAGAGATCGCGTCGGCACCAGAATTGATGCCATTGGAAGGGAAAGGCATATGTGTTATGCAAACATAGCCTCTTAGACCTCATTATTACTAAACAATTCATATAAAGCTCGAGTGAATCCTTGGTTAGTGAGCCTAACCCCCAGAAACTCCTACGGATTTGTTGTATAACTCCCGGAGAGTTGTGTTGCGAACCATAGGTTTAAATTTGATTGCCTTTAAAGGCTATCATAACAACCGGGGGCTGACATCTCGCAACTCATACCACCTCTTAGAATAGGCTTTCCACACATGAATACTGTATATAAGCGATACATAAGTATTAACGTAAGCCCTTCGCACACAATCCAAGAGCACAATCCGTATCCCAATCCCTTCCCCTCAAGACATTGTCAGCGGATACCTAGCTCTTAGACTACTGGTTGTGGTGGTGAGAGCGCCAGTAGTCGATATGGTGTGCCTCTAATCACATTCGTTACACACCATTCCCCTCTCATTTATTTGTTTTTAATATATATGGCTAATAATCATTGGATTTTCATTTCCAAACTAATTATCATAAGTTTTTTATGAATGAAATTAATTTGATTTACAAACAAAAAACTTTACAACTATTTGTGGAAATAAATTGTGTCACAAGTTATATGACATTTCTATTGGGCTCTCAAATCGCAGACTTATTTCATATTAATATTAAGTGTTTTTAATTTACTTTTTACTCTCAATTGAGTACTAGTTTTGGTGGTGAATGAGTCTCACATCCCATGTATTCATGAATTATGTATTCATATCACTATTGAATCCAATTTAATGACAATTTAATGGTACGAATGAGTCACCACTGGTTTGTACAGTATATATGCCCTACGCTAATGGCATACAAACTGTAGTGCAGGCTATTTATACATGCTCAATTATATTATATATTTGCTATATATGGGCACCAATTTGTAATCCTTACCCAAATCATCCATTTTGGTGGCCACTCCCGGGTATACCACGTAATCCAATGGTTAGACTAATTGCGGTCGCAATCAAGCAAATAGTGTACAAAACATATGACTAATTAGTAGTACATAAGCGCTATATGTATGCAATGTTTTGGTAAAGCATTCATTCATTCACTCAATTCAGTGCTAATAATAATACGATAAGACATTCATTAAATGAGAGATTCCTCAGCCAAACCCCAGAGTGAGCGACGGTTGTGTTGTTGTCGTGGTGTCTGTGCTGGAGAAATGCATACACTGTATGGGAGAGGACGGGCAGGTTTTTTTTTAAAGGGAAGTCTATGTGTTTTTTACTACTGTGTATGTTCTGTAGTTAAAGTACCAGTAGTTCACTTTCACCGTCGATGGGAAGGGAATGTATGATATTTTTTATATATTCACTCGCACTTCATATCCCGATATTTAATACAATGTTATGAAAAGTTTGTCGAAAAGTGTTTTTAAAGTATTTATTTGTCTTTCGAGTCGAGAGTTGTTTAAAAATATGAATTTCTCAATGAGTTGTGAAACAGTTTTTTTTGCATAAACTTTATATAAAAACAGGTATTTTTGACAGCAGTTGTGAACACAAATACACACCTGAGAGTTATGCACACATAATATAATGGGAGACCTTTACATAACACCCACACTGTCCATACCTTATACAGGCAGCGGTTCTTACATACCAGTGCTCTCGGCGTACGAAGAAATAAAAACTTTTTTCATTCATTAAATGCCATTAAATTCAAGACCGAGTTGAGTGTGGACTAGAAATTAGGAAAACAAAAAGTTGAGTCGACTTTCGATTATAAGGCGAATTGAGTTTCGAAACTCATTTTCACTATTCATTTAATCAACACTTAATGGGAATGAAAGACTCGTTAGAAATGTGGGAATACTTGTGCCGACAATCGCCGCGTTTGCCAATTATATCGCAGACAACTGTCTCTCCCTGTGCTCACTCATGAGTGCCAGATCTCTCTCTCTCTCTCTCTCTCTCTCTCTCTTTCTGCTAATAAAAACTATTATTTGAAATAAAAATTCTTTCGAGACGTTAGTTTGACTTATATTTTATACTCCAAACAGTTAGCAGTCATTCAGTCAGCGATCGCTATAAATAACTCTTTGGGTACCAAATGTCTAAATGTCTTTTCAAACCCAAATCACTCACACACACACATAAAATTTACAAACACTACCAGTGCTCCACATAAATGACAATTCATACAAACAAACCGGTAATCAATGAAAGTGTACTTTAATGGAAAAATACTAAATCATTATAAATGAGTCGAAAAAACATTGAAAAATTTCAAAATAAATGATTGAGTAAAACAACTACACATTCACTCTAAATACATGAGACATAAATGGTATACAGAACTCGTCCACACATTTGCGGTTAAGAAAAATGACAAATCAATTGTCAGGAAAACAGTTATCGTTATATTGGTAACTAAATGATTAGTTTTGTGCCGAAGAAAAAGAGACTTAATTTAAACGAATATTAAATTAATTAATAGGGTTTCGATCGGCGATCGCCGGGCGGTCCGCCGCCCGATCTCATGGGTCCGCCACCCATAGGGCCGCCTCTGCCGCCGCCGAATCCGCCTCTCGGGGGTCCTCCGCGACCGCCGCCGCCACGGCCCCCACGATCGCCACCTCCGCGACCGCCTCTATCGCCACGGAAACTGCCGCCTCCGCGACCTCTATCGCCACCGCCACGGCCTCCACCACCTCGGGGTCCACCCATACCGCCGCCACCCCTACGCGGCGAGCCGTCCAACACTTGCGGTGTCATTGGGCCGGGAGGTCCGTCTCCGTCGGGACGGGGAGTCTTGCATCGGTTGCACTCGTTTCTCCACGAAAAGTTGTTGTTATTGCAGTTGGAGTCCGGACACCTGTACCCCACACACAGACACACCATTAGCCCCACTTCGTCACTACTTAAACATCAATACGAATCCATACCTCCAGTCTCCTTGGCGTCCGCCATTATCGGAAGAACCGCCGCCTCGTGGACCACCGGGTCCGCCGCCACGGCCTCCGCGATCGCCGCCTCGACCCCCACGGAAACCGCCGCCACCGAAGCGGTCACCGCCGCTCGACTTTCTCTGTGCGAACTCCACTTTCACGCACCGACCGCTTCCGGTGGGAAACTCTTTGCCTGTAAATACAAACACCAATCAAACACTCCATTCAATACAAAAACACTTCACAAAAAACTACAAACCATTGAACCAATTGATGGCCGATTTGGCGGCCTCTGGGTCTTCGTAGGTGAGAGTGGCCTCACCCTTGCCTTTGCCGGTAGCCTTGTCTCTGTAGATCCAGATCTTCGGTTTACCCGTCTTTTTGTCGATCTATTCATTCAAATAAAACAACAATTAATACCACAATAATCCCCTAAACCACTAAACAAATCACTCCATTATCCATACCTTAATCATACCAATGGAGCCGTAATGAGAGGCCAACTGTTCGTCATTGATATCATCGGGAAGTCCTGATATAAACACTGTGTCCTGATTCTGGTCTACAATCAATTCAATCACAAGAAACACATGTAAATAAACCTACACATCAAGCAAGTGCTCACAATCAATACGCACCTTGATGTCCATAATCACCTGGTCCACCATATCCTCCCCGTCCGCCTAAATTGAATACAATCAACACCGGAGTTAATAAACGGTCATAAATAACACGAAAAGCATTTTATACATAAATATAAATAATACTTTCAGAGGCATTAAAGGCATGCAATACATCGTACCATAACTACAACACTGTTTGAAAACCCTAACAAAAAACTCTTTAATTGTTTGGACACTAGAATTAAAAACCCTATAATTTCATAAATTTCAAGTACTATTACAGTAACGGATAAATAAAAATAAAAAATTACACTCAAATTCAAAGCACAGATAAAATAGTCTGCGAAACACTAAAAGACTTTAAAAACTCTTATAAAATAAACTCAACATTCAATACAATAGTTAAAAAGCTGTTTGTTTAGCACCAAATAAACCCCACAATTGTATTGTCAAACCCTTGAGAGGGTTCGTACAGACAATTAATTTTGAGAAAACCCTTACGATTGGACTTTTTGTGTGTTTTTTTGTAATCACTTATAAATGTATACCTTTATTCATAAAACCGGGGCCGGAACTACGGCCGCCTCCATGACCACCTCTATAGATAGGGACGAGACAATTGATACACCATTTGTTAACAACATATTCACACAACAACTCTTTTTTTGGTCAACACTTCCAGTAATTATTTTGCGCTAAAAATGATAAAATTTTGGCATTTGTTTTGCTTTTTTGGTTTTGACTCTGTTTACTGTTAACAGACAATAATATAAGACACACTCGTGTGGGTAAATAGATTGGAAAAATAGACATAAAATATTCAATCAATACTCAATAATATGTAAATTGGATTTTTATACCCCCTTTTTGAACGTTGATTTTATACCTTATACACCGATTCAGACATTTTCTTCACCTCTTTTTTTAAACACTCCTTTTGATCACACATTTGATAAACACTTCTCTTGTGGTGATCACAACCATTGGCATTATTCTCTCATATGATATAAATCACATGATTAACAGCAAACACTTCTGCGATAGTGATTATAGCGTCCAAACAAGTCATTAATCAATTCATTTAAAAATCAAAGTATTTTTTATGAGAAAATTAAAAAGTTTTCTTTTAAAAAACGATAACTAAATTATAAACTAAAAAATCGACAAAAAAAAGTGGTGGGAAATGGAAATATAATTAAAAACAAAGTATTCGCAAACAAAACACTAGTTAGAAAACTAAACTAAAACTCTTTTTACACAATTAGTTATACAATAATTATTGTAAGACTCAAAGCGATAGGAAAGACAATGTATTTAACAGTAGTTTTCGAAAATTAAAAAACAGATTTAAAAATTAGACAAAACATAGCAAAACAACCATTCAATTAATTTTTGCTGTATTGGGAATGAAATACAAGTTGACATTAATGTAAACGTTTGTTAACCAAAACAAAAATGTAAAAAAGTTTTGAGACAACAATTTCGAGGCTAATAAATGAACACTTATTTCAAAGCCTTGATATCGTTCTCTCCGATACATTACCTTTAAATTGCCACTTAATTAGCAATTATACGGCAGTAAGAGTTATTGTTTTCAATTGATTGGTTTAACCAATGGATTACTACTTAACTTCTCAAGTCTTCGCGTAAGAAAAATAGTTATTTTAAACTTTTTCAGTTACTTTCACAGCAATTATATCATTGAGACAAATACTTGTATAATACAGAGTACTTGAATCGATAATTGCCTAAAATCACATCACATTTTGACGTTTATAAACTTAAACTCACTTTAAAATCAGTTTGACGATCAAAGTATCAATAAAGAGTAGAAAATTACACATTTTTGACTCAAATAATTTTGTTATCTAATAATACTCATCAAGAAAGTTGAGTATAAATTCAATACTCATTTGTTTCACTAAAGCCCTGACTTTTGGTTTCTCATAAACAGTTGCATTAAAAACTTATTTCAAAAGTATTTTCGGCACATATTCTTCAAAATAAAATACTCATCAATTGATTCATACATAAAACTCAACTCTAATTCACAAACCAATTGACAATCAAAAAAATACTTTTGACTTTAAAAAAAACACAACACATGTGATGACACCTTAAAACCTGAGTGAAAAAAGCTAATTATATTTCATAATAAAATACAAAAACAAATTCAAATAAACTCATCAATCAAATCAAATCAAATCAAATCAAAACCAAATTTTGCCAGTAATTTCAAAAATCAATTCAAAAACCAAACAAAAGCCGATCGCATACCTGAATCCACTATTAGGCGGTCCTCTCATGCTGTGGCCGTTACCCATATCACGGAACCCACCGCCGCCTCCATGGCCGCCACCCATCGAACCGCCGCCGTCGTAATGGGAGTTACCGCCCGAGCCGTACGGTCCAGAGGGGGGTCCGCCGCCAGGCATACCGCCGCCGCCTAACGAGGAGCTAAAGCCGCCGCCGCCGCCGCCCATCGACGAGCCCGACTGTCCACCGCCGCCCCCGTACTGACTGGAGCCGCCGTACTGCCCGTACTGGCTCTGACCCGACTGTCCGCCACCGGAGCCTGGGTGAGAGCCGCCGCCACCACCACCGCCACCGCCGGACGTGTAGTACGAGTTGGTGCCGCCGTAACCGCTGCCGGCCGACGAGCCGTAACCGCCGGCGCTCTGAGCACCGCCTCCTACTCCCGGCGCACCGCTCGACGCGCCGGTGCTGTAGCCGTAACCGGATTGACCCGTTTGGCCGTCGGCTGCGGTGTGAATAAGACATCAATTAATAGCTCAAGACTTTCGTAGACTTCTTGGTATATGACTTACAGTAGAGACTGGGCTGCGATTGAGACGAGTAGGAGTACTGGTCATTGCCAGTGGACTGGTAGCCACCGGACTGTTGTCCGTATGGGTTGGGCGCCGAAGCGGTTCCATAGTTGGGTCCGCCGGCTGTCGCACCGGCAGATGAGTAAGAGCTGTAGGAGTCGCCGCCGTATGAGCCGTATTGAGTGCCGTAACTGTCACCGCATGGGATCAGATAATACAATCATTAGTACGTGGAATGTATGGGCGATTGTGGACAGGGATGTCATGGGAGTACATACCCGGTGCCGGTCACTGAACCACTGCCTGATGAGTAGCCGTACTCTGAAGGGTAAGGGATACGCAAGTTGTCAGCAATTGGTTGGTCTTAAGGTATCACATGAGTGGTCAGTATATCATACGTGAGTCCGTCATCACGAGTGGTGGTGCTGTTGATGTCCTCTTGAGTGACAATCAGATGATAATTAAATGTATTGTTTTGCAAACTATTGATTCAAGTGATGCTAAAAATGGCGATAAAAGGGTTGAGTCATTGACTGACATACAGGCGCTCACTATTGTGTGCAATAAGTGCGCGCATATGGTGTCGACACCTGTTGTTAACCGCAATGAATGCCAATTGTGTTAAACGTGCGGTCAATGTATTGCCGACAATAGGTGTCGCTATAGTGACCCACAGTTTCACGACTTGTAAGCCGACAATACGTGTGGCATTTGTGTCGTTATTATGCACTCAAACGGTTATTATCGCTAAAATCTATTCAAATATGCGTTAATTACTTGATTAAATCGGAGTTTATAATTAAAACAGTTGCGTGATCAGGGTATAACTTTTTAAAACACAATTAAATTTCAATAAAATGAGTGTTTAGTACAGCCGGGGGTTCACTAAAGCGCGAGTAATTGTGTCCGTAGTTTATGGACAGCGATAGCACTGCGTGAATGGGAAGGCATTGGATATCCTTTTCCTTTTTGGTCACCAATTGATTCATTGGTTTTTGTTGTCGTTTTTGAGTATCAATTGATCCAATCGTCGCTTAAGACACACGATAGTCGACCACCGCGATGGCCAAGTCCAAGAACCACACCAATCATAACCAGAGTAAGTAGTGGTGGACACCAATTGTCCAGTAATTGGGTGTTTTGTGGTCATGTCTCACGTGTTGACTCATTATCATCTGTTTGTGTCCACCATATAGACCGCAAAGACCACAGGAATGGCATCTTTCGGCCCAAACGTCACCGCAAGGAATCGATGAAAGGCGTATGTCTTTGTGTCTTAAGCTATTATCTCGTCCTCTGTCTGTATATGTCTGTTGCCATCTGATCCCCAACACGTGCGCCCCCACCGGCCACACCATTCAATGATAATACGGTGTCTTTGAGTTAGACCTCTTGGTGTGGCAGTTGTTATGATTAGTTGATGACTTGTAATGTCTATTCATGAGTTGATAATTGCAAAGCTTGCGATCACTGCATTTGATCCATATTTTGGTGTTTTTTAGTTACAGTTATTTAATGAAAGGTTTAGACACACTCTTAGGTTAAGACCTTTTTAATGATAGTAAATGATGGCCACAGAAGTGTCTGAAGATATGCTGATTAGATGTCTGTAATTGTGGCCAAAAATAACATTTTTTGTGTTAAAAGGCCTTAGTTTTGAAACTTATTTGTCGTATGCATTGAATAATGTTGTCATTTAAACCGCAATGTCTTTGCCGTCGGAACCGATGTCTTTATCAGTGCTTTGATCTCTGGATGTGATTTAGTGATGTCTTTCCCTTTCCAACAGTTAATGATTAGTTTATTAGATATAAATTCATAATAAGTAATATTTATTTGTCTCATGAAATGGTTTGACAGTTATTTAGGGGTTTAGACATAATTAGTATTAATAGTGTTTAGTATTCATAGGTTTTATGTGCGAAATGTGTTTAAAAATGCAAATTTGAGTGATTTTTGTGTAAACAATAATTTTTCATAACTTTTTTGACTGCTTTTTGAGATTAATATGAATTTTGACTTCAATTTTGCGGAAAAAATAATTTTTATTTTGCGTTTAATTGGATTTTAGTTTAGTTTTTTAACATAAACTCAATGTTTTGTGTTTTACGGTAGTATTGAAGGCTTTTTATAGTTTATGAATATTTTTGTTTTAATAAATATGAAATATTTTTAGTGAAAAAAGTTATTGAAATATTTTTTGCACTTATATTTGTAAACTAAAATGTAATTTTTATTTTTTTTAAGTTTTTGTTTTGATAGCGAAAATGAGATTATTTTAAAATATTTATGTATTTTTGTTGAGATTTACACGAAATTTAGTGTTTTTAGTGGAAAACCACTTAAATCTGTAGAAACTAAGTATTTGGTCACAAAAGCACTCATTGTTTGCCTTTATTTGTGTTTTCTATTCATATAATGAGCTAAACGTCCGAAACTGAAGTGTCGGTTGAGTTGTAAACCATATATGAAGTGATATATTCTGACAGTTATATCAAATGAATGCAAATTTTTTGTCCGAAAACTCATAAAAATTGTTGAGTCTATTGATGGCGAGCGCTAGAAATGTGTGTATTTCGGTGTTTGAGTGCCACCCCATGTGGGGAATGGCCTTTTTTGTAGGGCCAAGAGCTACTGGTGCTCTGTCTCTTCACACGACATCTCTTTTTCGTACACAATGTGTGATCGAGAGCTGTCTTTCCCTAACAATTCACCACATTTTTATGTCTTCACTCACTACTCATGAGTACTGCCTTATCGTTGAGTTTTTTCCCGTTGAAACTCATGTGTCTTAAGACTCCAGTGAAACGAATCGTTAGGTTTTGTTAAAAACAGAGACACAGTCTCTCTCTCTCTCTCTCTCTCTCTCTCTGCCGATAATTGAGTGACATTTTTGCGATTTTTATATGATTTTTGATTGCATTTATAGGTCGACGCGAAACTGTTGAGGAATTTACGGTTTGCCCGAAAGCACAACAAAACCAGAGATGAGTTGAAAGGTTTGGAGAAGAACTTGAAGACCGCCTCCAAATAGACGACAAAAAAGCCATGTTTTCTGTACTTTTTTGCGATCATTTCGAGTACTGACCATTAAATGAAGATTTATATTCATATAAACCGATAATAAAATACGATTTTTTGTCTCAAACTTTTGGTTGTTATTTGAAATTCAATAAAAAATTCTTTGAATATTTTATGCGATTTTTTTTATTCGTGTTTTGAATGTTTGACTGATTTTTCGTATTTCTTTTGTTGAATTTAGTGTACGTTTAATAAAATTGTGAAAATTGGGTTTCAGTTAATCCATTATGTAATAGAGATTAGCATCGATAGTGTACTGTTCCTCACTCTCCCGTTCCCTACCGTATAATCTATTCAATTATGATTACGGCTTATGGGGTATAGAAGTGAAAGTGAATTGTTTTGTTGGGTTCGTTACTCTCTCCATAAGGATTGACTCTATGGTAAGTCCTATGGCTATGAATGCATGGCTATAATGAACGGCCGAATGGAGTCCTCTCTCTGTGTGGTGTCTGTCCTCTCGTATCTGATTTTGGTGTCGAAAACATACAAATTCTTTGATACATAAAACGCTTAATACGATTTGTATGTCTCCCCCTCTCAATAGTTATACAACAAATCGCTTGTGTAATACACACCCGACATAACAACCCAACTATTGTTGTGGTGTGTGTTTGCAGAGCACGCATACAGTTCCCCCATCACCACCAGAGTTGGTGATAGTGTCCACTCTCTCCATCCATATCTGTGGTAGCAATTTGTTTGCGCCAATCTCCCGGTGCTCTCTCTCTCTCTCTCTCTCTCTCTCCTCCGACTCTGAATGCCTTCACACATGAATGGACACCACATTCAGTGTTGACACGACATGCGTAACGCACCGGTCCTTTAAGTTAACTAAGTTTTTTGCGGTCCCTTTCCCTCCCCTTCCCATCGCATTCTGTCTCCCATTCTGTTTCTGCGATATCTATCCCTATATTGTAATTCACCTAAACTTTCGCCACTTCTTACAGCGCCCACCGAATCGCACAGTTAGTCTGTAATTTAATACAACACTATAAACGCTAAACTAATACTACTTATTGAGTGATTCCTACCGTGTTTTTGCTATTAATAAAAAATATAGTGTTATTTATACCGTAATATAACTGTGTATTTGTGTTATACAGTACAGTACTTATCGCTAGTGTTTGTGTAAAACTTTTTTCAAGCGTTTTTTCTATTCAAATATCCTTTTGTCACATAAAATGATCACCGATTTGATCAGCTATTTGTTAATTTTGTTTACTTATCACAACTCACTTGTGGTGACTTTTGCGGCAAATTACTCGTTAATTGATAATAGTTTGCTAATTATGGACATTAATGAGACTTTTGTGGATGTTTTTGGTGACAATTCTGTGCGAGTGTATCGTTTGCCCGATGGAGAGATTGTAACGAAACTAAAGTTTTTCAATTACAGTGCAATCGAGACCAAGTACTATGATTTGTGTTTGAGACAGGTATTTTTACAAATAATTTTAATATACTATTATTCTGGCTATACATTATCATACCATTTTACAAGTTTTCACAATTTACTAATTTTTATAATAATATACGAGTAATTAATTATATGTATAGGAATATAGGAATATAGGAATAATTTTACTTTTTAGAAAGAATTCTGTTATAACTTAGGGATAATTTTTGAATATAGATTTTAAAAAATATTTTTAAGTGTATTAAACTTTTTTGAGTAATAAATACTATTGTAGAAATTATTAATTTTTTTTATAACGACATGCTTTATAAGAATAGTTATTGAAATAATTTCTTTGTCTCATTCATTATAATGAGATATCGTTTCCTACTCTTCCCTCTCATCCGTATGTTTATTATTAAAGGAAATTCATTGAACAATATATTAATTTTATTTAGCATAATAGTACTGTAAATATAAAATATTCTTTGTTATAGAAATATATGTAAAATAATTTCTCAAAATTTGTATTTATAATTATAACATTTAGTATAAATTTAGTTATCCTTATTTGTAATTACTAATTAGTAATGATTTATAAAATTATGAGAATTTAAGTTCACTTATATACCATTAGTGAAAGTTTTAAAAAATAACTAATAAAAATTAGATTAATTTTTAATAAGATAAATGAACTTATGTGCTGTTCAATCGCCAAATTATAACCTCTACTCGAGTTATATATCTGACAATTATCACAGTTTTTAAAAATAAGTATGATACTATAAAATAAGTTACTCCATACACAAAAATGACTTAAAATTTATTTTTTATACAGTACTACGCTAGTATGTAAAATTTAAGACACTTTTCCCTTCAAATGTCTGCCATTCCCCTCTCAATCAGACACTTGGTATTGATTTCTCATATTTATAGCGAAGACAAGTGTATTGTAAATACGAGTGAATCGATTGATACATTGACTTTCAATTTGATGGCAGAGGGGAGTTGAGACACAAACACACCATTGTATGCATGGTTTAGTTGAATGAAACCTTAATCTTTAATTGATGTATACATTTGTATCACGAATTGTAGTTTAATATTAGTTTCATAGATAACTTTCCGCTTTCCGGTACACTTTGTTAAGTACACTATTTAGTCGTAAATGGGATAATAAGTTAGTATTGAGAGATGACTTAAAAGTAGGTTTAGATTGAAAACTTTCACCGGAGTATTAACCTTAACATTAAATTGAGTTTTTTTCAGGAATAAGTTACTAAATGTTTGCTTATATTGTATTTGAGTTATTTGATCAAAAATATACATTTAGATCACAGACGGCACACATTTGATACAACTGTGGCTCTCAAACGACGAGCTCTTAGACTGCGAGTTCACGACGGATACTAAAAGTGTCCGACAATTTCTGTCGGAGTTTAAGAGATCAGATGTCAATGCATTCAATCAAAATCAAACTTATTTCAGGTATTTTCCCAACCATTCAGTCATTTATTTGTATTGAATTAAGGATTCTGTTTAAGAAATTCTTGAAATGAATATACAATTTGGCTTTTAGTTCATAATCAAGAATATACACAAATATTTTTAAAAGAATATTCTGTATTTTATAATAAATTCTTGTATGTATGTGTGTGGTAACAGTGCGAATGGCACCGACCTATGGCCTCAGTGGTCGTATTTAACTGATTACAAGCAATATCACGATCGATGCCATCGACTCCACAAGAAACTACTCAAACAAATGAACTTCAAGTCGAAGTCGAAGTCGAAAAATAAAAAGAAAAGCGAATTACAGGTATATATTTGCCATCAAATACAACTCATAATCTTCTTATGTCACGGACTTAAAAGTCTTGTAGTGTTTAGTAGTTCAATAAAACCCACACTTCTTGTTAAGGGAAAGGGATGTGTACTGTACTGAGGGGTTAGAAAACTAAGCCCTGACTTATGAGAGAATGAATCGCACGGGTAGCTAAATGGGCATAAAGTAGTATGGTTGAGTGCGAGCCCTAGCACTGGGGATCGCTTTACGCAAAATTAGTCAATACATGTATGGATCTTATGTTCACTCTCTCACTTTGTACACTCCTTGTGCTCTCTCTCTCTCTCTCTCTCTCTCACCCCGACTATCATCTAAACTCATTGTGCTCTGCCTTTCCCTCAATAGAGATGGAAAAGAGCAGATTTACTGGTATTTCCGGGAACTAATTGGTGTGGAAAAGGATCTAATAGTAAGAGTTTCGAAGACTTGGGACATCACAGCTTCGCAGACCGGTGTTGTCGGTGAGTGACCTACGATTAGTAGCCTTTTGTCTGTCTGTCTGTCCACTCATTCATACATTCATTTATAACAACAAAATAAAGTTAATTAGAAAGTGTCTCAAAGATATTATTAATGATTTGTGGCGTTAATGAAGAATATTCTTGACTCACAAATTCTTAGAAAACAAACAGTTAATTTAATTCAGTAAATTAATTAATATTCACAGAATAAGTACTAGAAATTAATATATTTAGACTGAAGTCAATTGATAGGACACTCCATAATCCTTGTTCAAATTTTATGTTACTGCTAAAAATTAAGATTTTTAATAGTAAACTATTTTTTTTATCTGTTTGAAAACCTAAATTCTGGTGAAATGCTATAAATTATAATAAATGTCTGTACTTATGTTTAATAGGGACCACGATTACTGTACGTACACAATACCCCCATTCTCATCGAAATACCATCTCTTCAACTATAGGTATAATAGACTCATAAATAATACTTTATATTTAGTGCCAACTGAAAGTACTAGTTATATAATTCAAGTGACTTGTCATTCAAATCAATTGTCAGTTAAGATGAAAAAATAGTTATTTATATTCATAAATATATAAAAGTTTTGACAGCTTTTCATAGGAAAGTCAGACACACAAGTATTATATTAATGCATATTTGCCGCTATTTTGAAGGACAATAAAATTATCTCAATTTGTATCCCTTTGAAGGACAGGTCCCGCAGAATATCTCATGATTTTTGTGTTTTAACCTCCGATGAGTTCACTAATTATGGGTTTAAAACTAATATATTTAAATTTTTAGCTAGAAATCATATGATTTTTGTTTAAATACATTTTAATTCCTGAAACATAATTTCAAAATGCTTTAGTAATTCATAATTAATTCAATTGTGTACTCGTTTTGTAGGTTTCATTATGTCTCCCACTGTTCATGTGATGAGAGGTATGTATTGTATTTGTATTGTGTATTCCCATTATATTCTGTGTTTTAATAAGTAATGTTTTTACTCTATTACTAAAACATGATTGAATAAGCAATGGTAGCCAAAAATACTTTCTCATTTGCTACCAGAATATTCTCCCAAAAGAAATCCTTTTATATAAGTTTATATACATTGATATACCCATCGACAGCACAAAAAAGCCTTTCATTGAATAGGTTTTAGTGATAAGGCATTCACACAATGCATTCAATTCTGACATAAAACCGTATTTAACAGTAATTCCAATACTATTCTCATTGATGGCCTGTGTATTGACTCCCAGTCCCCACCACTCATTCAATGCGCGATTCCTATGCTATGACTGACTATATGTTTGCAGTCATTCAAAGGACTGGTAGGTCTCCGCCAGTAATTGTCATCCGAGCGGAACAATTATCTTTTGCTTTACAAATGGCTTAATATGTAGTGTATTGTCTTCGCTATCAGATGCCTGTGTGTCCATCAATGATCCGCTTATCCTATATTTCTGGTCAAATGCATTGTCTCTCTCTTAGCCTTTCATTACAAACATTAGTTTACTATACAATTCCGTACACTATATACACATGCAGTTTATTGTAAGCCTAACATACACTCCATATAGTTGTCTAATATTAGAGACATACTACTAATAACTTGTGTGTAAATAGATAAGTAATAAGTTAGTGATCGCATTATCCACTATAATATCGATAGACACCGTGTATTTGGACATCACTTGCATTCACTCATTTCCATCAACTTTTATCGATGTGTCACTCATTGGATGCTATTATTAGTGTTTGTCTGTCTGTCAGCGACTCAAAGCTTAATATCTTTTTTGCCTTTTATTTTCGATCAAAATCTTCACTAATAATAATAAACTCATATTTATGATTACAATACCATTTTCAGGACCTAAAGTACTGCACATAATATAATGCAATGTCTTTGGAGTTAATTCTTGTCAATGCTTTCCCTATAATAGTCTCGAAAAGCAAGAGATTTATGAATCGATTAGCGAATCAGAGTATAAACTGAATTGAATTAAGAGATTATATTTTTGTTGTGACTATTTTATGACTATTTGTTGGATTCAATTAAAGTGATTGCAATGAAAGTATGTTTGTCCCTTCAAACAACCCATTCCCTAAAAACTGTAGGTTCCGATCGTGTCTGAAGTTGGCGAATACCGGTGCCGCCAATCTTGTCGGTAAACTCTTCTTTAATGTCGTACAGACCAAGTGTTTCCTGTTTAGAACGGAGAAGGTATGCTCTCGGAGGTCGTGGTGGGGAAGGTGTCTGTCCACTAAACGCAAGAAAAAGGCTTTCTTTAGGAATGGACTGAAATACTGATCGTCTGAACGAATGATGAAAATTGTTTTATTCGCTATTATTTGAGTTGTTATTACATTTGAGAAGTTAGTTAAGAGATTACTATTGAGTTATTTGTAAATTGATATGATATTGGTATATGAAAAAAGTCATTAACTTTTTGTAATTACTATTATATAAATATATCAGTGAAATTAACTTTTTTCAAACACACACTTTATTACAGCGTATTGTATAAAAAAACTTTATACAGAATCTATTCATTGCATACATTGTCGAGAATTTTAGTGTAATTTATCATTTAATTTATTTATGAAACATATTCATTATTATCACTTTTCCATATGTTGTCAAACATTTCACGTGTATTTCAAAATAATTTCTAAGATGTGATTAAATATTAGATATTAATTTAAATATGCGTTCATTTTATTTTAGTACTAATCTTAACATGTTAATAACTAGTCATAATTAGTTCTTGTATATTATACACAACATTTATTTAATGTAAAAACAAATAAATCATGTTTTGAGATAATATTTGAGAGTAAGAATTTAGTAAAAGTCAAAATAATATCTTATTTTTTCCATTACTTAACAATTCATAATAAACTTCAACATAAAAAATCATTAATCACTTTATAAATGATAAAACATATGCACAAAACATTTCAGTGTTGGCCAGAGTTTGCAATTCCTATAGTATTACAAGATTTTCTTTTTGTAAATTTGTTTTTATGCTTTAATTATTTAATTATAATTGATCTAGGAATTCATAATTATTAGATGTAAGTTTTTTTTTATAAAATAATAGTTTTTTAAATTAAACAAAAATTTACTAAAAACTTCTCACTTCCTCTCAACTCAAACTCAATTAATGTCTAAGAAATTGATGACAACTCTAATGAGATACAAGAATTGCGACAAATATTTGAAATTCAATACATGTTTCGGAACTAAACTATTTTCAACTCAAAAACTTTTAGAAATATGGGATTAATTTGCAGATTATTTGCAAAATACAAACCACTAAATACTTTGCATTCAAATATGTGTGTCGAGTGTATATCCTGTTTGTCTATATCCCTGTCTATACTGGTCAACACATTTATGACAATCACTGAGAAGTCCTGTATTTATCATAGAGATGAGCCCATAAAAAGTAGCCCAACTTTTTTAATAATGGTCAATACGACTGACCCATCGGTATGCCCACCCCTTACCACATTAAATCTAGTGTAAGCCTCATTAAATCAGTGGTATATAAATGCTTATCTCAATGTCCGCCTCAATGACCACATCTTAAAGACAACACATTTACTACAAAGTAGTGAATACTTGTAAACAGTATTTGAATTGAAGTTTTTGTTATTTTCATAAGTGTTGAGAAGTTGTTTGTTTCAAAAGTGTTAATAACTTAACAAAAAAGCTAAAAACCACAACAAAAATGAATTGTCTATTGATTTCAACCGCGATTATCATGTATTGCATGTCTTATGTCCAGTCTTCTGATGAAGTGATAGCCTTCTCCGCCATCAAAGGGGAACGGAATGGACCGTACATTTCATACCAGACAATGCTATCCAACAGTTCCGTAAGTGCTGTCATCACCAAAACTGATCGCAAACATTGACCACAACTTGCAATCTTAGGCTAAATTCAACCCATTGTACGGCGTATTCATGTGCACTGAGCCGGGTCTCTATCTATTCACGTTTCACGCGTTGGCACAAAAGGACAGCGACTTAAGAGTGTCTTTGCGTACGAATCGGATCCCAACCATCACTGCGTTCAGTGGCTCCAGGACTTCATATAACATGGCGTCGGGAACGACTATTTTGGAGCTGGAGGTCGACGACATAGTCTACCTGTTCGTAGAGGACGGGGACTTCTATGAGTCGCGTCAAGTGAACCGCGCCTACACCTCGTTTACCGGCTATAGAATCGGGTCACCCGTAGGCGCTCATAGCTCTGGAGGCAGTGGTTTCTTCTCGAGTCTTATGGGAAGGAAGGCATCGGTAGTTGATGTGAGAAGGGATCGTAAGAATGGAGATATGAATGAGAAGTTGGACACAGAGTTCATTCAAATCGATTCCTCCGATAATATCTATAATCTGTTGAATAAGACTAAGAATTCAACGGAATATTCTGTGAATTAATTAAATAATCTGTAAATGTTTAGTTTTTATGTCAAATAAATTATTTGTAAACAATTTATAAGTTTTTTGAAAAATACGACTGGGTCCTGGAAATGGATTATAAAATCGATACAATTCCGCACTTGTAGTCAAATACACGGAAAGTATTGTTCGCTTCTATGGCGCGACTGTTGTCCACAGTTTCGATGATAATCCGAGTCATGTGGTAGTGATTAGTCCACAAAGAAGTGATTATTTCAAACAAATTAATCGCAAAAATACCAAAAAGTTTCGTATCGTTCAAAAGAAATGGCTTCAAAAGTGTATTGAAGCGAAGGATGCATTGGATTTTAAAAACGTTGTTTAATATTACATAATAGATGTCACTTTGCGATGATATGAATGCGTGAGCGATGTATTACATAATAAGTAGTAACCAGTTATTCACTTGAGTAAAAACGTGATAAATGGCTGCGAATACTGGCGTTAAGATTGTGGCCTCGGAGGGAGAAACGGGATCGCATGTACTATCGATATGCACGGAATCTATTATGATCGAACTTCGCATAAGTTCGGATGTGTTCGGTTTAATATCTCGAGTTTGGAAGCGCATGGAGAATGAACCGCAAGTCGCACGCGAATGCCAAAGACTCCGTTTTCATACCAATACTGGTGTTCGTTTCATGTGCTGGTTGCCGCCTTCCGACACATGGTTGGCCAACCAATCACTGGAAACTCGTCACAACTACCTATTGACCGATTCATTTGACGACTACTCAGTCAAAATTGTCAACTTTTCCGATGAATGGCATACTTCCTCTGATGGCGTCCCCTCTGATGGCAACCCCTCTGATGGCAATTGTGCCTCAATCTCGGCAAAAAGCTCGGGATCTCAAAATGGTTTCAAACGCAAAATCGCTACGTTGAAAGACTGGCTAAAGACTCACATGAAGTCAAAGAACAAACACCTCAAACACATTGAACAGCATCTGATTATACGGATTGAGGCGCTTATAAACTCAGCTGTAGAGCCGATGGACTGGTCTAAAGTGGTGGGACTCGAGTTGGAGAAGCAGAGGATAGTCGAGGCGGCGATTAATCCCATTCTGCGGCCCGACCTGTACAAAGGCGGCCGAACGCCACCAAAAGGTTTTTCTCACAAATTATTTTGACATAATATTATGTAGTAATCATATTTTGTCGGCTCAGGTATTCTGCTGTTCGGTCCGCCCGGCACTGGGAAGTCACTACTTGCCCGCTGTATCGCCGCGCAGAAAAAGTGGACGTTCATACCGGTCACAGTGTCGACGCTGACCAGCCATTTGTACGGTGTGGGCGAGAAGATGGTGGCCGCCCTGTTCGCTGTGGCGCGCGCTCGTCAGCCGTCCATTATCTTCATCGACGAAATCGATTCGCTTCTAATGTCGCGCAATGACGGCGAGCACGAGGCGACTCTTCGTATGACAAACGAATTCTTGAATCAATTCGACGGCATGGGTACCGCTCCCGGCGAACAGCTGCTCATCATTGGCGCCACAAACAGACCGCACTCATTGGACGGGGCGGCCAGGCGTCGCTTCGAAGTAAGACTATACATCAGACTTCCCGACGCCAACGCTCGCAAGCAATACATTACGAATTTCATTAAATCCAATAAATCCGTGAAACACACGCTGAAGAGCTCAGAGATACAGTCGTTAGCAGATATAACGGATGGTTACTCGTGCGCCGACATGAAGGCCCTGTGCCGCGAGGTAGCAAATATTCCAATGCGCGGAGTGATGGATATAATGAGGCTTAAGGCTGAAGACATCCGTGCCGTCACTTTCAAGGACTTCCGCGAAGGCTTATCGGCCGTTAAGCCGACGGTTAAGAGTGGAGAACTCGAGGTGTATGAGAAGTGGAACAACGACTTCGGGGCCATTCGTCGCCAGCTTTGAGCTTATTTTTTACTAAAGTCTTTACAGCATTCCTTCTATTAGATGTACTGCTGTTTTATTAAATATATTTACAATTTATAAAACTTTAATTTTTGATGGTTGATGTCATTTACTTAAGTTTATTAATGGCATCAATTGTGATATGTAATCAAATCAAATGTACTTTTTAAATAAAATTAATTGAGATTTCATTTACATTGTCTGACAAAACTTTATTTGAAATAATTTATTAAAAACTTTTGTCATAATTTTCATTTTAAATTAGAGTTCATTCCTGAAAAGCGATTTCAAATAACTTTGTTTGCATTCATTTTGCCAGTCTTCGGGAATATGGCTCTGAATTGAGTGCAAGAATCCATTCAATTGACATCCGGTTGTGTTTGTGGACGTAAAACACGTATTCAGTAGTAATCTGTGAGTCTGTTCCCATTCCGTGACATTCAGGTAATGGACTTCCAGTTTGTGATCCTTTTCACTGTCACTGCATTTGGTTTCGTATAATTCAACAAAAATAGTCGATCCTTACGATCAGAATTAGGGAACAATTCTTATTATTAAATCTCACTTCAAATGAATATCTCATATCTTAAGACATACCATACGGGGGAGACCTTCCGTTATAGATGTTAAGGGCCGACAGGAACACCGATAGCTGTGTGTCGTGCTATACATTAGACCACAAATTAATCACTAATTAATTACTTAAGCTATTAATCAATTCGTATTTCAATTGTTGCGTTAAAATGATAAAACTTTTTTAATTAGAGTGCTTAACAAGTCATACATTTAAACAGTTTTTTCAATTCACAATTTGGTTTATTCAACAAAAAAAGACAAGAATTTATTATTTCAATGATAATTATTAATCACAGAATATATCGTATAATATATTTATATATATATCAAGCAATCTATGAACAAATAATACTTTTATAATTGTCATTATAATGGTTGGCAAAAGTGGTGATTGCATGTGTAAAATAGTCATTTAAAAAAAGGGTACAAAATATATATTTCGTTATAAACACATCATTTAAGACACAATTCGTGATACAATTTTGAGCAACGAATGGATTATTTAGTGTTTAGTGAACACATTTAGAGGACAGTTATCAGTGTATATGAAGTATCAAAAATCTATACAATAATAATTATAAACATGTAATAACTCTATAACTAAATTAATGGCATAACTATTCGCGTCTCATCTCAAACCCTATTACTACAGGACTTGGCGTAGAAATAGGAGCACAGGTTAGGCATGAATTTGCGGAACTCGTCGCTGAGGTCCCGGTGCTCGTCGAACATCTTATTGATCTTCAGCCACAGCACGTCCGGCGAGGCCTTCACGATCTCCCGTTTGTCCCGTCGCTGCAAAAACTCCCAAAACAGGGCCGACTGTTCGCTGGCTTTGGGAACCGTTTCGGTGATAGTATCGATGCGCTTGCGGTCTGTGTTTTGATTGTGTTGTCTGTGTTTCACCACAACTTTCATTGAGTGTCGAGCGTAACACATATCACGTTACGCTTGTACGTGAGGTGTGAGTGTAGTGTTGTGTAGTGTGTGGTGAGTAATGGGGGACTGAATGTGAGCTGCTTTTGGTTACGTGTTGTGTAAATGGCGCGCAACTAATAGGTGCAAAGTTTTCGCAATCTGTTCCCATAGAAACACATAATAACTGTGATTTTTGTGTGTTGTTTGTGTATTGAGAGTAAATAACGTCTAATAAGTTGTCAATCATTTGTTGGCAAAACTTATTTGAATGCGAGTTGTATTTCGAGACATAATTCATTAGTATTGCAAATATTCATTAAGTTATTGTTTTCCCCGACAATTAACGCTAATTACGGTATACTCCCGGTTATAGGGATCATATAGTTACTTAGTATATAACTTATTTTGTATACGAAAGTGTTTTATTGAGTGCTATTTAGTAACGTTAAAACAAATAGCGCGAAAATGTTTTATTAGTTTTTGAGTCTATAAAAGGCTTAATGATGTCATAAACAGCTAATACATATCTGTAATACACTATACAGTAGTTAATGATGAATAGCGATAATGAACTGTATTGGTTTTTTATGTTTGTAAGGAACAAATAGTATTACAGTCGACTATCGATATAATTTCGTATAACATTTGTAATCTTATACAGTATGAGTAATGTAAATTATGGATATTTAATAATGCATTTCAAATCACTTTTCATTACAACTTATGTTTATTTGTTACAAGTTTTTCCATACATTTTAATAAACTACACATCTGTTCATATAATATATTATCTGATATTTTATGTTTCATTTATTAATGAAATACTAGGGAAATGAAGCAAACAGTAGCATATGCTCAGGGTCAGGGCCACTGAAATGTGTACGATTAGCTAGAATTTGCATGAACATTGATCGGGGTCATATTTGAACACACATTGTATGCACCATTAAATACTTGGAGCAGTTTTATTGCACTAAAAATACACTCAATTATCAAATTATAACACCAAGTTAGTATTTAAAACAAGTATAAACTAAAACATACAATACTCAAAACACGATTCAGAAATGTCTCAAATGAACTGGATCAACTTGAAAACTTTTGTGTCGCACGTTATTTATTTATGACCCACACGACAAAGTTTCCCTATTTCGTCACATTGTTTACAAACTTTTGTGACAACAAAAGCAAACCAATAACTCACACAAAATGCTAATTAACTGACCACTAACTGACCATGGTCATTGTGCACTCATTTACACCATATTTTACTACTTTATGAACTCATATCCAATGCATAACTCGCGCACCAAATGGTGATTACAGGCACTGAAAGCCGTTGTATTGATTGGCAATGCGTTTACATTTGTGCCCAAAATGCGTGAAATCAGTGCTAATTGTGTTGACATTTGTCTGCGCTTTCGTTGCGTTCACTAAATACTACTTCACTTCCGATGACCCGGATATTCATGCCATTAGTTTACCGCCGAGTGGTGGCCAACAGATAGTCGCAACCAAAGAGGCCGATCCGTAAGTTATCGCCACTTCTTAAGCACTCGATTACCACTAATTGTCTCCACATTTGATCCACTCTTTCAGCGCTTATGTGATACTCTTTTGGACCAAATATTTCAATCAACCCATTGAATGGTATTTAAGTGATAGTGAGCTGACCATCGATGGCGAGCGGTGTGCGGGAAGTCCTA